CACTTCTATGAACATTCTTAGAGCATCACACTATGTTCAAATTTCTATATTTTTCTGTATTTATTGCGGATAATTTTAATGGTCTCACATTTTTGGAAACAAGCACTTTTAATTGATAAGTAAACTAATTTCATCATGAGCATATTGCATTGCTTATTAAAAAAACAAAATCATTATGAGCATCAGAGGGCACTACCCACTAAAATTCCCACCAGCATCTACTTTATTTAGTTTTTAGATAATATTACCAACGGAAGATAGAAGATTAGACATGATAAGTCACAGCAATCTGCAAAACCTGCAACAGATACAGAGCAAGCTACAACAGTTCCATCTATAGCATAAGTCACACATGTGTAATATCTAGCTGTATAGGTTGTTATTTTGTTATAGGTTGTTAGTTTGTTACAGATTAATTGTCCAGTGTTAACTATGGTTTAGTAGTTAGATTCAAGGTTAGGTAGTTATGGTTAAGAGTCATTGAAGTGTATAAATATAATTTCATCCTGTAACAATTGATTCGATTCAATACAAAGTATATTCATTCTCTTTAAGACACAAGTTCACCCATGGCTGTTTCAGTATGATTTTTCCTCTGCCTCCTCATGGTGTGCCAGTCTTTGCCTTTGCAGCTCTTCCTGAAGAAGTAGTTGTGGAATCTCAATCAGCTAGTGAGCTAGCCACTCTTGCCGCAACTAATTTATCTAGGGCACCTCCAAAACCTTAACTCATTTCCTATCCTTCAACCTCTAACCTTCAGACTCCAAAACCAATAATTAATTACTTTCCTAAATTTATAGAAAAAGGAATTCTCAGCATTTCCAATAAACATTCACAAATAGTGGAGAAGGACCTATTTGAGGCCAAACTAATAAGGAAGGTTGCCAAATTAAAAACCAATTTTAATTCCTTTAATTTGGTTTATAAATTGTGGACATGCAATCGGTCAACCGCATGTAAATCTCAAAACTAACAAAGAGGAATGCAATTTTTGTCGTGAAGAACCTTGAAGAAAACTCTCTTCAAGAGAAAAACCACAAACAAACCCAAGACTACAAGACTCAAGGTAAAAGGACTTGCAATCCAGATCCAATAACCTCACTCAAGCAACCTTTACGTCAAGCTCCATGCTTGCACTCCACTCCTTGTGGCTCTAACTCCAAAGAATGCTACAAGGAACTCCTCGCTCCAATCTCCACTCCTTACGACTCCATTACTCAACAACCAATGGATGGGCATCTCATGCAAAGTGTTTGTGCAGAGTTTTTATCGTAAAATATAAACTATAATTTCACTAATGAATTTTTCACCAAAAGGCTCTAGTTGATAGTTTTAGAAAATATGGTTTCAGAGATCACAAGGCTAGCCTGAAAGCTTAAGATTTTCTCTCCCTCGAAGTACATTTCCTTATATTACAAAGAAAACCAAGAATCAATTTATAAAAAAAAAATAATTATTGACCTAATTAGGTCAACAATTGATCCAAACCTAGAGCCTGCTTGAGGGCTAATCGAGCAAGGCAATTTGGAGCTTTTTGGAAAATAAAAAGGTGCTCAAGCTCAAGCTAGAATCAAGCCCACTTCATGTGGGACCTTCTGGAGTTGAAACTCCAAGAATCCACCTAACCAACTCACTTGGGTTGTTATACATGAGAGAGAGAGAGAGAGAGAGAGAGAGAGACAGGCTTTGCTGCGACTGAACAAGAATTCAATATGATTGTAAAACCCTAGACAGGCCTCCCAAAACTAATTGAGATTCCTACCCAAAAAATGCCCCACTAAACAAGCCTCCCACCTTTCTACACTTTCCCTCCTAGGGAGGTCAACCAGAATGGTAGAATCAGAAGAAGAAGGGGGGAAATACCTAAGTTTGACAGATGACCTCTGATTCGTGGAATTCAAGAACTACAAATCAAAAGAATTAAATTGTAAATAACCTAAAAATTTGATACATGATTAGAGGTTAATCTGAACTGGTGTATAGTACAATCATACTCTGTTCAGGGGTTTCATATTTCTTAATCACGCCATTTGGGTCGAACAGATGCATGTTGCTTGTGTTAATAGTTGTCGTGAGTTTAAATTTCTTTAGCAAGCCCTCTTGCTTTGCCATGATCAAGTTCTCCTCGGACATAATAACTTCAAAGTGTACGGTGGTGTCATCGTTGTGCTCTCTGTAATCCTGCAACCATTAAAATCTATCGTGAGACTCCAAGCACCACACATACTACAACTTAATAATATACTAAGAAATCAGTTCAAGAAATCGAACTTAATTATACCTTGATAAATGGGTCCTTGATTTTATCATTTCCTGTCATAATTGATTCAAGAAATTCTTTATAATCTTGAGTCCATTGTCGTATAGGCAGCTCATGTGTATCAAAACATAAATCACTAGCGTATTACCATTTTCTAGTATATCAAAAACATTTCATAACCAGACAGACATCCCTACTCTTCCCAAATCCTTTTGTTGCTCATCAAACTTGATATATATGAAGAAATCAGAATGATAATAGGACACATTCTCATGTGTAACACATCACTTCTAAGCAGAGAAAAGAATGAATTACTACCATCATTTGCCTGCTTAAATAACAAAGGCCGAATTCGAGTGACTGCATATTTGTTGAAGGATTATGAAAAGCAATGGCAGGAAACTAACTAGACACCGTTACCTTATATGCTCATACTTGAAGAAGGTAAAAAAATTTGAATGGGAACAAACCCAGAAAGATAAACAAAACCTAAAGGCTCCTTTTGGTACCTCCTTAAAATTGATTAGCTCAAAAGTTCCCACATTGGTGGCAGCTTCTGCTTCATCATTTCTTTTCCAATACAGTGTTTTCTGTTTAACAAGGATAGATGTCTGTATTAGACAATCCTAGAATAGAAATTTAGATTTTTTAAACTGAAATAATGAAATTTGAGTATTAAACCAAGAGAATAAAGTTCATATTCTTGTCCCACTTTACTTGAGACCAAATTTCAGAATCCAATATATAATATGGCAATATTTTGGGGACACTCTACATTTCTTTTGAAGAATAATCCAATCCGATATACTGTCACTCCAATGAGCAACTAAACTAGCAGGCAGAAAAATACTCTACATATACTTTAATGGTCCAAACAGCAAAAGGCTATGCTATAGTTTGTACCCTATTGCAAATAATATTTGGGACAGATGTAAACCAAAAGCACCAGCCAGTAGATTATGCAGCTGAAGTGCATAAACAGCATAATATCTACACCCAGTCATAGTTCAAAAGAAAAAGAAAGATGAGAAAATTTACTCATACTTAAGCATTTATATCTATGATCTAGCAAATTGTACCCTGGCAATCTTGTATTAAGTATAGTAACATTTCAAAAAATAAAATACCAAGAGAAAAAATTTAATGCGAAAATAATTTCCTAATGTAAATCACAATTAATGTATACAAACATATACAAAGTGAATGAAACAAAAGGTTACCTCCAAAGGATCTTTGGTTACAGGAATTTGTTCAGCAACCTTTTCTACATAATGGATGCCACGTTGCTAGGGTAATCGTGAGGAGTCAGGTTATGGGTCCTCCTCTCATTAGTGCCAAAAATATCACTATGACTTTCCCAGAAAATCTAGTCACACGAGAGAATTTCTCCAATACTTGAATTGAAAGATCTCGAGCAGGATCCTGAGATCCAACCAATAAAGATTAAAGAGATTCCCCATTGAAGGTGGAATTGGTCCACTGAATCTGTTGAAAGACAGATAGAAGATTTCTATATTAGCACCATATCAGAACATTTTAGCATGGAGATTGAACTGAGACGATCATAAGAATTCTACAAGAATGTACTACATTATTATTTTGTAATCAAGCATGCTTCCAACGAAGTTGACATAATATTAAAAAGAGACCTACATGCATGGTATCAAATATTCTGAAAAGAATAAAAGTTCACTGCCATACTTGCATTTTTTGAAATCAAAGTAACTACCATTCAACAGAAAGTATTAATTACAAGTCATATTTTTTATAACTAGACAAAAAAATTAATGTTAGTATTAAAAAAAAAATAGCTATTGATTATAAACCCAAATTGCACTCCCAAACTTCAACAAAATGCACGTGTAAGAATCTCAACAGATATGAGGCAACAATAGAATATTTATATTTGAATGAGAAAGTTTCAAGAAGCATCCTAATGCATTGCAAACTTCAAACACATACATGCATATGCACAAGATGAAACTATTTGCGAAACAGCCAAGAAATACTAATTCTTAGTGTGTTTTTTTGTAGGTCATAATTGAGTGGAAAATAACTACCAGAAGTTGAAACCAAAAAAAAAAAAAGTCAAAATAAACCTTTTTCAAACATTTTGAGAACCCAACAACATGCATTTTCTGATTTATTCATGTAATTTCATCAATCAATTTATTAAGCTTCAAAATCTAGGCAAGAAAATTTATTAGCATTAATGACAGGGAGATGCAAATGTTGATACCTTTGCCAGTCCAGAAAAGTTGATAGGCAACACTTCAGGAGAGGCTTCCTGACCATTATGAGGAGTTAGAACAACTTTACCATCCTCCTCAAGTGAAATAGTTTTCTCAATGGTGTTGACAACCTGCAACTCAGGACCCACTGTATCTAGCATAACCTGAAAAACAAAAAATATCCTCAAACTCAAATCTTATTTTGCATACTGCTGTTCCATTTGCTTCTTTTGAAAATAAACGAAATTACACAAACTTTATTCAAAACAATTATCATTTAGAACAATCCAACTAAAAACTGAAGCCAAGAACCATCAGTTAAGTTGTGTTGTCCAATGCCTAAAGACCAAAAACAGCATTGTACAACATATTCCGATTCAATTTTCTTTTCAGGAATCAAAAAAAAGATCAGTTTCCTCTCTTCTTTTTCTCCCCTCGGTTTTCTCCGCAACCAAATGGGAATCGACACAAAACTAACCATCATAAAAATTGACAAAAAAATATGATGCAAGTGAAATCAGTAAGCAAACAAAAATACAAAAAACAAAATAGAAGCAAAACACAAAACCTCCAGCAAGATGAATCTGAACGCTCATTAAAGCTCCGTTTATTTGGGCAAAAAACTGTTTCCAAAACTATTTTCTGATGTTTGGTATAATAAATACGAAAGTCAACAAAAAAATATTCATGGTCAATAAAAAACAAACATGAAAATATTTTTCAATTTTAAAATGTGATAAAAGTTTCTCCGCACTACCGCCGCCGCTGCCACACCAACATCACTACGGTCACCGCCAACCATCACCGCAACCGCCACCTTCATCCCACCACCACCAACAAACATAGGAAATTTTTTTTCGTACAAAACGTTTTCCATGCAAACAAACTGAGCATAAATGATTGTAGATCAAGAATGTAACAAACTTCAATTAATAAAAACCCCATATATATAAACACATACAGCACAAAGCTTAGAAGTGGTCTTCACAGCAGCCCTCAAGTTTTCCAAAGTCTCTTGGTGATACTCAGGATCCCCCAACGAAAAGTCGAATCGAGCCACTGCAAACCACACATTCACAAATCATTACTCAAATCCTCCAAACTTCCAAGTAAAATCAAAACCCTGTGTAGACACCCCATTTTTGACCGCCCTTAAGACTTGGGCACCACTGATGTTTTGCTTGGCGGAGAAAGGTGTGCAGGGAAAATGTTCAGTTTCTTCGGCAAGGAGAGAAGCAAATCCATCAAAACACTTTGTTTATGGGTTTGGAGTTGAAGAAGAGAGGAAAGGAGAGGAGAAAACTAGTTTGGGAAAAGTTCGGCATGAATCCGGGTAGAAGCGAGTTGAGCAGCCCTCGCTGAATCGGGCTTATCTATCTGTACACTTGGATTTTAGCGATGAGGCCACCACCGTCGGAAAGCTTACTTCCGGGGCTTCATTTTGCACTCAAGAATCTCTTAAATCCAAGTCCGGGTGGAGGAGATATGATTGGTTGAAGTTGGGTATCATCCCGGTTGGATCGAATCTGCGCGGCTTCACCAAAATGGGCATAACTTTTTCCACAGGAGGAATTTTAATACAAGGTTTACGCCACTGGAAAGCTAACTTCCGGGGCTTCAATTTGGACACCAACCGGCCATTTTTTGACCATATCGGCCATCCACCGGTACTATATTTATCCGGCAGGCAATTTATTGTGCCGACCGGCACTTTATTTTGCTGACCGGCAATTTTTGCACCGGCCAATTTTGCTAGCCGACGACCTTCCGGAGCATTCTGCAGATTGAGTGGATTCCAGCTGTGCCAGCTGGAGTGCACAGATTCGATCCCCCGTGCACATGTGTGGTTGTTTTGCACCTTGTGAGTCTTTGAACCCCCTAACCTTCTAGAAGCTTGAACACTTTGGCCAAGCTTCCAGCTGTTTTAGCTTCCTCTAGAAGCCTTGCACCCCCCTTGAACCCCTTTGACCCTTTCCCTTTACTTAGCTTCTAAGTTGATTAGAAAAATAATGAACGAGTTGAGTCTATTTTATATATAAAATATATATATATATATATATATATATATATTTTTTTATTAAGTGTATCTGTTTATTTTAATATTTGTTTTAGTTTTTTTAAATATAGAAATAATTTATTTATTTATTTTATATAAAAATAGTTTAACAATCTCATCACTAACTATCTCACACACTATCATCAAAATAAATACATTTTTACTTTAATATCTTCAATAATAATCCCCACATTAATAATCTCTTTACTAACCATCCTCTTGCTAAGGGTCATCATGAACTAGTCCATGGAATGATGGGAGCATTTGGATGGTGTTAGACTTAATCTCATAATGAGCAGCAGTAATTGGATGCATGATGGTGATGTATATGCAATGGGTGTGAAGTAATCCTTAAGCGTCTAGTTGGGCCCATTTAGGCCATTCGGGTTCGCCATCTCTAATGGCTCGAAGTATGGATATGGATATTCAAGCCTAGAAACACGGGCAGAGACTCTAAGTTTCCTAAGAGTCCTTTTTAATTCAAGATCCAAACTCCACAATTCAAGGTGACAAGAAACGGCGCCCGTGCATACACTACACACACACACACACACACACACACACACATACACTAAGTTTCGACTCTTGTGCACTAAGTTATGAAAACAAAAAACCAAAGGAGAAAATACTCATAGCGATTTAATGAAAATGTGTTACCGAAAACTCTTTACTCGTCTTGCGGGTGCTTGACGTGTAGATGACGTTCCCAATTTCCACTTGAGCTCTCTATTTGTAGCACTTTAGTGCTTTGCTTGCGAGTATTTGCTTCTTCTTTTTTTTTAAGCACTTTGGTACGGCGGTTTGTTTTTAAATCTCGGTTACGCTCCGCTTGCACTTCGGTGATAGTTCCACTTGCAAACACTTTGCACACTTAAAAACACTAAAATATAAAATCCTAACTAAAAATTAAAATAGAAATGTAACTTTAAATTACTTAATTTCGCCAGAAGTCCCCCGGCAACAACGCCAAAATTTGATGGGTTGTTTCACACACTCAAAATAAACACTAAACTATACCAAATTCTTTAGAATAGTGGTAGTCCGAGTATTGATCCACAGGGACAAACAGGAAATTAGACTAAGTTAATTGTTAAATTCTTAAATTAATTTTGATAAAAATATTGAGGGATATTATGACTAAACGAAAATTAAATGAAATTGAGAAATTAAATTGATAATTAAAAGTAGGGTTTGAGATATTGATTTTTTTGGAAAATCTTAAGGCAAAGAATTCACCATTAACCACATAAATAAGACTTAACATCAGCCATCAATTGCACTCCAGTTTGAATTACCCAATATTTCACAACTACAAGCTTGAAACATTGACCAAGAGGATTGTTTCATTCAACGTACATGCACGAATCATCTCAAGTAGCACGAGGCGTTTGCTCTAAACCATAGTAGAAATACGCTCCGTCTCTTGTAGCATGACTCGTCTCATACATTGAATACAAACACAAAGAAAACTAATGTATGGAAAGTATTAAATAATTACAGAGAGTAAAATACTTGAAAAGATGAAAAGAAAAATTATTATAAACTTCTAAAACATCGATACACTTATTGTAACAACCCTCATACTGTTTACTGATTAATGACTGACCGATTACCGATGATCACCGATTACTGTTAAACGAAACTGATAATGACTGATAACTGACTGATAATTGAACTGATTAAAGTACTGAACTGACTGAGATTACCGTTAAACTGAATTGATTATGACTGATAATTGGACTGATTAAAAGTACTGAACTGCCTAACCAAAATTGAAACTGAATTGAATGAATACATCTGTTTGAATTGCATTCTATCTGTTCGATTAATTACTTGATCTGTTCGTATTTTAGTGTTTAAACTGCTAATTGAAGGCCTTATCGGCGGCCGAATTAGAAACCGATTGATGTTCTGTGACACTCATAATTAATGTGATTTTATGGTATAATTATCTGAAAATTGATTAGGTATGATTAAATTAGATTAAATAAGCTAATTAAAGAATTCGACGTAATTACACTTTTGCCATTGTTAGTGGGCCCTTATTATAACATGTTGGAACCTTGAAATGCTTGAATCAAACACTTTGCTCAGCTCATTCTTGCTTTTGCCGACTAGAGGGAGAGAGTTAAG